GTAGGGCTAGAGTACTATCAAACCGAGTGCTGTTTGCTCACAAAGCGTCTATAAGGGTATCTTCTTCACAGTCTGAGTGTTGATATGCTACTGCAAGAAGGACTTCATACAACCAGGCTGGCTTCTCAGTCCCCCACCATCGGATTCTGGTGGTGGGAAGAGCTAAATGCTGATGCCAAGCGTACTAAGCATCTAGCGCGTAATTTAGGTCGTCCTTTAAAACCGACCAAGGCATCCTTTGCCCAGATTATCTATCTGCATCAGAACACTGAATTGCTGTCTCTGGGTAGCCATTTCCTACAAAGACTTCACTTCCTAATCCATCATACCTGGTCACCCGGAGCCTGGCGTTATCGAGTTCTAATCACTTTACAATGACACAAATCACCCCTGGTGCCATCAAACGCATTGCCATTATTGGAGCCGGTCCCTCTGGTCTTGCAGCCGCAAAGTAAACTCCCCACCAAATCTGGCTGACTCGCAGTACGCAGAGCTGACATACTTCAGATATCTACTCGCCGAGAACGCATTTTCAGAGATCATCATATACGAGCAGCGAAATTCTGTCGGTGGCACATGGAACTACACGCCACTGCCTCCCAAGCGGCAGTCATCTGTCAATGGCGATCTGAATGGATCTTCAGAGCCAAATGCCCTGGACGTCGTAACCGCTAACTTACCCAAGCTCAACACACCTATGTATGAAGGCCTTGAAAGCAACCTGCCGCATATGCTGATGCAGTTCTCGGACACGCCATTCCCAGAAAGGACACAGTTGTTCGCCAGGCGAGACACTGTACAGCAGTATTTGCAGGATTATGCGAGCGATATCATTTCCATGATCAGATTCGGTCATGAGGTCCACGAAGTGAGACCGACGGGAGGCGATGAATGCCATGGATGGGAGATTACCACAAAGGCCACAGCTGAGAGAGAGAGTAAAGTAGAGAGGTTCGACGCGGTCGTTGCTGCGAACGGACATTGTGATTGGCCCTTGTTGCCTAAAGTCGAGGGTCTCGACGCTTGGTGCAAACAGTTCCCGGATTCACTCTATCATTCGGTATCATTCAAAAACCCCAAGGCATTCGAGAAGAAGGTAAGCAAGAATCTCGTCATTTTTTGTTCGCTCTGTTTCGTGAAGCAATAGTCTCACTAGGAACCTTATTGATCAATTTAGCGTGTACTTCTCGTAGGCGGCGGCCCCTCAGGTGCAGATATTGGCCGACAAATCGCTAGAGTATGCGAGCATCCTTTCCTCAGCGCGCAGCCGAAGAAATCTCCTTACCATACTGACGAACCGGATACGCGCGACTACTCAACCCTCGTTGCACTGATGCCTGATGAGCGCGCAGCGAAATTCGCAGACGGAAGTGTCGAACGCAACATCGATGCCATTATCCTATGCACTGGATACGCCTATTCTTTTCCGTTCCTAGCTCCAGTTGATCCGACCATCAAAGATGAAGGGATCCGAGCACTCCCTCTTTACCAATACATCTTCCACATACAACATCCGACTTTAGCGTTCATAGAGACGCCTGAAATGATTGTCCCGTTCCCACTGGCTGAATGCCAAGCTGCCGTCATAGCACGGGTGTGGTCTAGTCGGCTAACCCTCCCGAATCGACACAAAATGCAGGATTGGCGAGAAAGTGTTGTTCGCGAACGAGGAGCTGCTCGGGAGTTCCACGCCTTGAAACCTCCACTCGACCTGGAGTACATGAAGGAAATGTACGACTGGAGCAGCAAGGCCACGGAGACAGCGGCGTGCGAGGGCGGTGCGGGCGGCAAAATGCCGAAATGGTGGGATGCGAGAGCGTGCTGGGTGCGGATGATGGCGGCGGAGATGAAGAAGGCGTTCAACGCGAGAGGCGAAGCGCGATCCAACGTCCTGACTTATGAGGAGTTGGGGTTTCGATTCGATGGCGAGGGGAACGAACCCTGACGGCTTCCCAACGCGTAGACGAGTCCGCTTTTATGCAATCATGCTACATAATGAATCACGGCTCCCGCGCCACTTTAGCGCATCGGGTGGTTAGAAAATACTTTACAGTAAAGATTACTCGGAGCCCCAGGACGAAGCCCCGTCTCTGGGCTCGCTTCTCCTCCCTCCTTCCACGGTTCATGAGAGTAGAGCAATGACACAACACACACAAGCTGAGCGTAACCACTTGCGGATAAGCTCTGGCCCAAGACGGTCGAATGACGATGCACTATTGTCGTCACACGGTATCATCTTCACCGACGCGTAGAAAAAGATGCGGCAAGATCCTCGCAACTAAACGGCTTTGATTCAGCCGGCTTTACGGTTACTACCGATTTCAGTATCCCACGCGGTGGCATTTCGAATCCGTTAGAAGCGGCCGCTTTTCGGAAATCACACACTCGCCAAAGCGGTAGTGCTTGGGAAGCGTCTGTCTCATAGCTCGCATCATGACGCGAGCTCGTGGTGATGTGGGAACGGGGCTGAGTCTGTCATGGGGCATGGTTTGGTGTTGAGCTCGGGGCTTGAGATTTTGAGTGCGGCCAGGGTGTTATTCTACACTTCACAGCTAGGTATGTTATGTACTGTACTGTAATCCTATGATGTAGCACATCCGGCATCGCTGTTGAGATGCCGATGCCTGGTCTGGCATTGCTTGAATAGGATCTCTGCAGGCCTTGCTCTTGAGATATGTGACTATGGCTTTGAGGTCCGAGGATTCAGAGCGTTGTACTTCTTTTCTGGGATGCCTGTCCGACAAGGCCTGGATAAGGTCCGGCGTTCGATGTACAACGGTTAAGGATACAGACATGGCTTTTATAGATATCACATTGACCTGAATGGAATGGAATTACTAAGCGCTTGTTGCCTTTAGTAAAAGCTGGTGGTAGGAGATGACGGAGGGGTGGTGAATGTGGTGATCCTTTGAGCGACATTTGGATTTGGAGTTATAAGGGCCGCTTTTCATCCTTCTGGGCTTCCTGATATACCTTAAATATGCCGATACCGTCTTTCACGTCATCTAAGAGCCCCCAACACCGCTTCGAGCCAGCCTCGCGCTCCTCAGTATCTCACTACACACTTCTATCATAAGTAGTTCGACTCTTTTCCTGTCCATACGGGGTTGGTACTATAGTTCTAGGATTTGCCTTTTGGATCTCCGTCCCTTGGCGGATAGCAACTGATTCCTCAAAATCGCGCAAACGTGATCGGAATCAAGGTGAGCAAACTACCTCAAAACACAACATAAAGAGGCGAGAGGGGACGTAGCGAGATGGAGACTATCTACTGCGCCGTGCCTATCTCCTTTATACCGTATGAATCTCCTTGCGAATGGGCTGTTAAGAGTTAAGAGGCAGCGCGTCCTCCAGAATCTCCTGCCTTGAATTTTCATCCATTTCAATTCCATCTGCACGGTCATTATCCCTTCGATCCTCGACATGACCAGGCTCTTGCCGCTCACTGTCGCTTTGCTTTTCGCCGGTGCTGGCCAAGCTGCTCCAGCTCCTCAAGTCGCATCCACACTCTTTGCTGATCCTTCTACGACACCATCCGCCTCACTATCTAGGTCCCTTGGACCGTCAGGGCCCAATGCGACCTCCTCGCTCACCTGCTATCCGTTCCAGGATCCTGACGCGGGGCCAGCGCCCCCAGGGTGCATGTGTGACGGACTCGATGGCATATTCCCATACCTCAGCTCTTCCACCGGTCAAAGCAGTTTCAACCCTTGTGGTTTTACGACGATGCCGACGGCAGCCTCCGCAACTGCAGCACCATTTATAACCACCGAATCCAATGGAGATGTCGTTTTTTGCGCTTCCTCTACGTACTACAATTACGCGATCAATACGAATCCAATATGCGCGGGTGCAACATCAGTCGTTTTCATTGTCCCTTCTATCGCCTCGTTATACTCGAAATCAACGGCCTCGTTTGCATCTGTTGCATCCGTCTCAGCCGCATCCGTATCATCCGCAATTTCATCAGCGTCTTACGTCTCCGCCGCGGCCGTCCCCAGTGCCGGCTGTCGGGATCTTGGTGACGACCTGTTCGGAGAGACTCTCTTCGAAGTCTATGGGATCAACGGATGGGCCGGCAGCGATGGCGGAAGGCTCCTTGCCGAAGAATGGGGCTGCGGTTTCGTATCCTTCTTCGATTTCCACACAGACACACAGGATGAGTTTGAAGGCCATCTGAGGGATACCCAGTACGCGCTCTTCTTCCTGAGCCTCTTCAAAGCCGGCTGCGTCGAACGCGCCGTGCACTCGGCAGGGGGACCGTCGCCGGGTACGGGACCTGCCAAAGTCCAGTGTTATCATACGCCGGATCGCCGCGACACACTATTGGACGCACTCGGCAGCATCGGGACCGCGCGACTCGAAGCAGTCAAGGCCGTGGTAGATGGTAAGTCAGCGAACAACTCGCTGTCAGCGAACAACGAAGAGAAGGCGGTACTCGACACAAGCTCGTCTTCTCCAGCAGCGGCCGGGGGTCCGCAACCCGGTGCAAGTCTCGGGGCGTCGGCTTCTGCAGCGCTGTCTCACCTTTTGGCTGCTCAACGCCGGCCATCTACAGTTCCAACGGCCACACCGAGCTCATGACCTGCCGGGTTTTTTTTTCAAGCAAATCTACAACATTTCTCTTAGCCCACGACTTGGCTTTTCCGTTCTCCAAGATTGGGTTACCACAGTACTCATTCGTGATTTCCTAGCTCTCCAGGATTCACTGCTCCGTGCAAACGTCATGCGCTATTTAATTCTCCACGGTGATGGCGGCGTCTACACCGGTCTTGATACCGTAGCTTTTGACCAATCGATACCTGGATCCCCGTCGGTCACGCAGACAAAGATCATCGGCATCGAAGGATATAGTCTCGGTTGGCCCGATGATACCAGATTGTTTCCAACACGCTGGGCCCGGAAAATCGACTCGGGCGGCGAAACCGGGTCACATTCCTGATGGAGCGAAGGATCGAGTATCCATAATCCAATGCTCTCCTTCCCCAACTCGCAAGCGTCTACATCCATTTCGCTTTGATCGAAAAGTTGATCTTGCGCAGCACTTCTGATGTCGAAGCATGGTGGTCGATGCGGTTTGTGCTTCCTATTACGAATCCTGGGCGTTTGTACACCGTGTCTACGCCTGGATCTGGTGTGTAGTTCGGGATTTTACGGGAGTTGAGCGTAGCTGATTGGATGAAGTCGGTGATTTGTGCTACGGTGAGGATCGCCTTCTTGCTTAGGATTGGTTTACTGAGTACTAAGGATTCGGGCTGAGGAAATTGTCAGCATGGGCAGACGTGCTTGGGCTTTAGAGGATGTTCTACTGCACGGACGTTGCTGATGGAAAGCGGATAATGCCCAGATGAGGCAACTTCAATGGTATTTAGTGTGACATCATTTGAAAGTACTAGTACAAAGCATTTGGCCTGGAGCTGAGTATGAACATTCACCACTCAACGCCAGGGACCAGAAAGCATCGCCATCAAAGTCCGCTTCGAGAACCGCAACAGCACGCTGTAAATCGATCGATGGGGGAATAGTCGATCCTTTTCCGCCTCGCTTTTAATTGATCACCGCTCACTCAGTTTTGCCACCTAATTTTCTCGCCACGTAACATACCCGCAAGGCCGATGGGCAGCAACTTCTTCTCACCCAACGCCAGGCCGCCATACTTCTTGATGATATCGGCACCATACAGCTGCAGCACCCAGTGCTCGTATAGACTCCGTCCCTGACCGGTCGGGACAGGGTCCAATTTCTGAACGGCATTCTGTATGTCTGGGGTCGGTTCCACGATCGCGCTTTCTGGAGGCGCAAGCAAATCAATGTACGCTTGATGCAAATGTATGCTCGTCTCTTCGCGATATCTAGTATATTCGTGCAGGGACATAAACGGTTCGATATCTGCAGTTGGATGGACAACCCCCGACATTGAGGTGCCGTCCTCGTACGACTGCTTCGCGTTGTTGTAGTCAGCTTCTTCAAGCTCAAAGGCTTCATCGAGCTTGACCCCTGGATCCTTCAGGCTCTCTTTACGGGCTAGAAACAGAGGAATAAGTGGGTTCCGCACGCCGAGCCCTCCGAGCTCGATGGGAAAGTAGAAGAACCCATCCGAAATGCCCTCTACACCAAATCTTGAAGCCAGCTCTATCCTTAGATACTCCCCCACATTGTCGCCAGGTAGATTGACATCGGCAAAGAGGCCGCGCTGAATCTTATCGAAAGCTTCTATCACCATATCCAGATGAGGACGACCGAGGCAGTTCGCGGATTCTCCAAAGTTGTTCGAGATGAAGCGTGCGACGTAAACATTCCACGCTTGGACCCAAGCGAGGACGCTTTTGCACGCTTTTAATTGCTGTTGGAGCTCGCGGGTGTGTGTCTCGACTTGCTGGACATCGATTGTCCATTTTCCGGATGATCCTAATTTCAAAAAACCCCAACGAACTTCGCCTTGTGGGAGCCTATTCGAGAGTGAAGTCTCTTGAGGCAAATCTGAATTGCCAGAGATGTTCGCCGCCCCAGTCTTTTCCTCATTCAGAGTCAGTCCCATGACACTTGCAAATTCTTGACTGGTCTCCCATGCCAAAACAGAAGCATGCGAAGAACCCCAGAACCAGATGTCATCATGCAATCTGTACAGATTCGATCCTGTCGACTTGTTGATAGCGAAGTCTAAGGAGAACAGCACAGCTTCTCCCATAGCATCGCTGAGTCGATGCTGTATTGGGACGCCGCACTGCCGGATCTGTGTTTGAGCTCCTGGACCGTCTTGCACAAACTTCACAGGCGCTTTCAAGAATTTCTCGAAGAACTTCAGCCAAATCTTGGGGACGCCGAAGAAATGTAGGACCGAAATAGTAGTCGCGTGAGGTAAAGAAGGCCCAAACCACTTGAAGTCGGACTGGAAGACGGTGACAGACCGATTCAGCCGAACATTTAACAGTACCTCTGTGCTGATAAGGTGTAACAATGACTGCTTGATGGCCATTGGTGGCTTAACGTCGTCATTTGGACTGCCTTTGCAGTAATTGTCTGTCGTGTCATTGAACGCTTTCGGTAATTGCGACAAGAAATAATCACTTTGGTACTTCTCACGTCTTGCATTCCTGACGCTTCGTTCGCATCCGTCTTCCTGACCCAAAAATCTCTGTCGGTTCCGTCTGGCTTGTCCATCCAGTACGTTGTCAGAAGACTGTTTCCATGCACCTGAACGGAAGAATGTATCAAAGACAGTTTTGAAATGCGTCGCCCATTTCATACCAATGAAATGAAGGAGCAATGCTTGGAGAATTTCCTCGTCCATGAATACTCGGTATTTACCATTCAGAGCTCTTCGGACGTTGACAGGTATTGCTTCACCCCACGACCAAGAATCCAGAGCGTCTACCTGCATATTCAAGACATCGGCCATTTCTTGCAGTATGGTAGAATTATTCCTGAAGTCGGCTAGGGCTTTTCGCTTCTCCTCGGAGAGCAGATCAGTCTCCAGCATTCCCGTCATACAGGTTTGAAGAGCAGAGGTGTCGAAATTTCCAAGCCTGAAAGACCTCATGCCTTCTCTCAAACTATCCAAAGGCTCCTTCACCATTCTTTTAGCTTTCGAAGTGGAGCCGAAGATGCCGGTAAGATACGTCTCAATTGCAGCGGGACTGGATGTTGAACCTTCAGTGAAGACAATCGACTCCCATTCTTTGCGTTGGTCGTACATTTCCTTGCGCCCCACATGCTCGAAATGATCTTGGGAGCTGCTTGGTGTATCACTGAGTGGCGATTCCCCCGCACTGCCAAGCCACTCCATGACCAGGCGCCCAAACAAAGAGGCATGTTCGTATTTGCGAGACGGGACGTCTAAAGCCTGCTCGAATGCCGTCTGCCATTCTCTGAGCAGCGTCGAGGGAACGGAAGGATCGTGACGAGACTGTTCTAGGTATTGGCGAACATTGATCTTTGAGATGTTCGCTGGTGTGTCAATATCATGAACCTCGAAGGCATCTAGCAGTATCTCTACTTTGCCGACTTGAGTGGACTGACTGGCAGCAGCATCAAGGATACGTTGCTTTATTGTTTCATAGCTCTGCTGCTGCTTTGAAAGTGCATTGAGCTTTGTCGTCGTGATATGATACATGGACTGCGTGAGAGCTGTGGATGTTTCCATGGCGTGAAGATGTCTGGTCTGTGTTAAAACGCGAATTCGGTTTTGGGAACAAAGTGTGTTGATATCCTGCTTGAATGATTGCTGTCGGAGGAGTGACGAGACCGAAGCTGACACCCTGCCATGGTATCTCGAGAGCATATTATAGATCAAGCCCCCGGAAGGCCGCTGCAGGCAGCAACACATATGAGTCATAGGAGCTGGATTGGGCGTTCAAAGGATCAGAAGGATGGCTGACCCCACGCGTACAGTCCAAAGCACATTAGGCGTACAGTCTGCGCCAGAAATGTTGTGGAACAAGAACAGCGTTCGTAGTGTGTAGGAGGGATGTATCGAATCTGTGAAGCCTGCAGCAAGATATACCCTCCGCCAAGCGTAGCTATACTACATGCGGCTAGCCATTGCAAAAATGTCATGGACTGGGATAGGGCCTGAATGATAGGGTCCACAGTGTGAAAGCAATAATAGCTATGAAGGTGTCTACATGACATGAAGGCCGTTTATGTAGGTAATGCCAAGCCGCACTAGGCCCAATTGGGAACCGCAGTGTTGAGAGCTGGAACCATGACACTGAAGCAACTTCCAACTGCGTCGTCTACGGAGTCACCATTCTGCACGCAAAATCCTGAACGCCAAGCCCCTTGCGCCAAGAAACGGTACAGGAATCGTGGAAAGGCCGCCAGAATCGGATCGGCCACAGCCGGTTATACGACATACGCACCTCCATTTTGAACCTTCAATCCACAGAAATTCCTCGCTAATTTTGACATACTCTATCCCATTTAGGCAAAAGGCCCCGCCCACAAGTACCATGTCCACGTTCATCGCTTGGAGGTTCTCTTGTCCCCTTTGCTTGTAAAATCTTTACGAAACAATTTTGTGCCATGCAAGGTCCGCGTATTGTCAGCGCAGGTCACATCGGAGATGGATTCAGGATTGGGACCATAGCTAGTGTCCAGCATGGCAACCTTCAGCCGAGCTTTGCCAAGGGGTCGTCTTATACTTTGCACAACTCCATGGAGCTCGTTTTCAATTGTGTCCATCCAGTGAGACACCAGTGAGGCTGTCTGATCCGAGTACGGTTTGCTCACCGGTCAGTGTTTGTGCCAGACTCCCGTCGAGGCCAGTGGACTTACGGCATTCTTGGGGAAGAAAGCGAACGAGATGGGTTGTGCGTAGGCCAATATAATGGAATTTGCAGGATCGAATGGGGGAACAGCCTCCCTTTTGGGCGTGGGTGTAGAGCATGTAATATTGAGAAATCTAGGTCGTCGGGCGGGTATTCCAAATCTAAGATGCCTCCTCCCCCTATGTGAACTGTCTTGTGTACATCGACTATGATCGATCGCCGAGGAAATTTTTCAAATATTGTCTGCCATGTAAGCTGTCATCCTACCCACCTCCGCGCATTCTTGAGCAGCCTGCTCCGCGGCATTTGAAGATGTGATCAAAACCCTCGAACGAGTCATATACTCTTCCGTGACACGTCTCAGGTTTTTCAACATATCACAAGAAGAGATAAAAGCGAAAGAATACTCGCAACCTCTCCCAGCACCTAGGACATCGCCATCCGAAAACCCTCCACACGCTGCAAGCCCCACAAAGGAAGAGAGAGACTTGCGGCCATGAATGAGATCTGTCATATGTACGTCCTCGGCTAGGAAACCGGCGTTCATAAAGGCGTACGCCATCTCCTTCGCTCCGTTGACACCCTGTTCGCGCAGTATGGCAACATGTGGCTTTTGTTTGAGGGATAATCTCTGCGAGAACTTGGAAGCGAGAAAGGGGGCAGAATTCAGGAAGCCTTTTCCGTGCAAGGGTTCTGCAGGGTCGAAGGTGATATTATAGGAAAGACCTGGATCGGAGTCATCTTCGATCCTTGCATATTCTGTGTCTGCACAATCCAAATTATTGCGTATGCACTGCATGTGATAAGATATGCTGCTCCAGAATTTCTGTAGCTCTGAACGACGGTTGCGATAAAGAAGCGAGGCTGGGTCGGCGTTGTGGTAAATAGAAAGCTCCTGATCAGATGTGACAGTGCCAATCCTCTCGATCATCTCAGGTGGTGGACCACAATTGGCGAAGCATCGCTTGAAATTTGTCTCATCTCTCTTTCCGACTTGGAAGACTGTGATCATTTTACTTATCAGCTGCTTTCGCTGCAAGCACTTAGAAGAAACATTTCAAAATGACTAGTAGCAGACGACTGACGGGTTCGAGGAGCAGTGGCTCCTTCAATAGGTCTCACTAATGTAGTATCCTCTGAAAGGGGTCATTTCAGATACAATGTAGAACGTACCTGCCGCAAGCTCCTCCGTGAAGAGTGTGGAAATGATGTCCGCTGTCTCATTTCGGCAGAAATTCTCCAAGAGAAGGCTTGCACCGCATCTCCCAGCAAACATCATTTCCACAATAGCTGTGAAAATCCCACCGTCAGATCCCGCACCGTGGTATGCTAGGACTACCCCTGAATCGTGTGCTTCCTCGATAGCATAGAAGGAGTCTTTCAGAAGTTGAACTGGGGAACACGAAAGTGTCAGCGCTTTTGCTTTGGACTACACAGTTGTGAGGTCTCGGAGAAGATGAACCCTTACCGTTTCGTACATCAGGCGTTTCATCTCCGACTTTTCCAAAGGCTTGAGCCAGGGCACTGCCCCCAAGAGCTTTGTGTCCTTCTGCAAGGTCAACGACCAGCAGGACTGTTTCACCAATCCCATTCTCCTCCGGTCTTCTCAGCTGAGGCGTCTATGTGTTGTGATATTCCAGACCACGCTAAAAGCGGATATTACCAGACAAAGAGGGGCTACGACCTCCCTAGCCTCCTGGCTTTGCTGCTCCCGCCAACCCATTTTCATGGATGTCGAGTCTTTCCCCACCGGTATACTTATTCTCAACTGCTTACACAGCGCTACGACGGCCTTGACGGCTTCATAGAGTGCTGCTCCCTCTCCTGGATGGTGGATGGCCGACATCCGGTTTGCGGATAGCGGATAGGCGAGTTTTTGTAGCGAGACGTCTGCAGCAGCCATATTGCACAATGCCTCAGCAACTTCCATCCTCGCGGATGCACCAGGATTGATCAGTGCGAGGGTCGGCTTTTCTCCTATTGCTGTTGCTTTTCTGGTCCTTATCCCCTTTTGCAAACAAGTAGCTGTGACACCAACATCTGCAACAGGAATTTGCCTAAGAAGGTCGGAGCGTTAGCAACCTTTTCCAACAAAATGAAAATCTCTAGTCTTGCAAAATCGTCAACGAAAGCCTGTCCCCACTCACCACGGTCCCACAAGCCGATCCCTCGCAACCTGCCCTCCCACTGCTCGATCTCCAATTGTTATTAAAAACATCTTAAAAGGCAACTGAGGGGAGCCGCATAATTCGCCTTACTATCCCATCTAAGCAATTGTGCTTAAGTTTAGGAAGGTAAGTAGGGCGACGGCTAGAACATATCTTTCCTGCGCCTCATTGCACCAGATCTCCGTAGCAGCTGAACAGATTTCAAAGTCAGCACGGCGTTCCTCAATCGAACGAGGGTCACGATGTAGCGAGAGAAACATAGCGTCTCAAGGGACGCCTTTACTGTTTGTTGACCTCTGGAAAGAACAGGAGAGGGAAGGGAAGCCAAAAAAATTGACCTACTTCTAGATCCTGCGTTGTCGTTATCACGGAGCTCAAAATTTCCTCCGATGCTAGTGTCATGAACGAGTTCGGGAATCGCATTGCTCAAGCCACCCGCACCCACATCATGTATGAACAGGATTGGGTTATCATTTGCCATGGACGCGCAAGCGTTGATAACCTCTTGAGCCCGACGCTGTACTTCGGCGCTGTCTCTTTGAACGGAGGCAAAACTCTATCGTTCGTCAGCAGCGGCATGTCAAGGATTGGGCGTCAAGAAACGTGTTCAGGGAGCAAGCGCTCCCCATGAAGATTAGTGGAGCGAAAATACGGCCTCGAACGAGAAATAGGAGCTGGTAAAAGACATACAAGGTCCGCAGAGCCCTCATTTGACGTTGCAGAAGAGGCGGATCCACCACTAAGCCCAACCAGGATTGAGGGGCCACCGAGCACAACTATCATTGATCCAGATGGTACAATAGCTGGATCCTTGAGAAAAACTGCGGTCGCACAGTGCCCATTCCACCAGCATGGAGCTCCCATGGCTGCTTGTGTCCAGGGGTACGGAGATCTGAAACAGCGAAACCGGATTTTCACCCTGCGGAGAGCTGCCTCTTCCTACGCTTCCTTTATTTACAGAGTAAATCTGCATCAGTGTGCCATTTTCCGAACAATATAGACAGGAGTGACATATCCAGCAAGTTGTGCTTGACACGCATTTGCCATGTCCGAATGAGGTTCTGAGGGCAAAGCTTATCGCTGGCAAGACATACCTCTGATCTCACCTCCAGCTCCAGTCGCAGCGCCTGGCCAAGGACTAATTGCTGTCGGGTGCTAAAGGACCAGTTCAACAATAGCATGCCCTGGGAAAGGAGGTAACGAAGAGTGCGAGGGATGCGTCGGTCGCCAGTGCTGCTGAGAGTTCATGATGATTGCATGTGGCCTGGTAATGAAATTCTTTCTTTTAGGTACACCTACGTTATGCTTATTGAAATTGGGGGCTAGCACGGTTCTAAGGAAATAACGATGATATACCTTGAACTTTTCAATCATAATATATTCTGAGCTGTAGACGATGGTTCATCCTGAAGATTTCCGCGGGTTTTGATACAGAAAGAGGATATTGAAATGAGCCTTGATGTTTACTTACAGTTTCTACCTTTATGACGTTGTAGACGGGCTTATCCACGACGTTGTATTCGCCATTGATGTGTGAGGGCGACAGAAAGGAGCCTTCCGAGGCGCCGCATTGTCACTGTAGGCACTGAACGAGGCATTGAATTGTTTGCTGAGGCAATATACGTATTAGTCTTGGCTCACTTCCATTGGCGGTGTCTGAAGGCCTAGCACGCGACATCCGAGTTTGGAATATTTGCTTACTGCACCAAGATCAAAGTTAGCATAGTCTTCTTGTCAATTCGCTTGATAAGATCCTTGAAGCCCCAGACATGGACAATGTTGGTAGCATTTCTACTCCACGGTGATATTGTCCGAGGTGCAACGTAAAAGTAGCATATGTTGAATGTAGCCCTTTCACCTCGGATGAGGTGCATATACTTAGCATCTACTCACCCCTGCCGAAGTTTTTTTCACCCCTGCCGAGTTGTGAGCCCACGTAAAAGACCTTCCAATTACGAGGATGGCTGGATTGACTCTAGCGACTCTGATCCGCCAGTCAATCCGTCATTGAAAGTTTTCACATCCTCAGGTGTGGGCACCCCCTCGCCTAGGCACTCGTGAAGAGCAACATGATATTTATAGACAGCATGCAATTCAGCAACGTTCAGTTGCCGAGCTAGGCTCTTTCTTTTGCGCTTGTTGAAAGCCTGCCCGCCGCGGAAGATAAGTAGCTGGGTCATATCCTAGCTGAATATCGAGTAGTTGCTTCTTAGTCAAAACCACCCTGAACTAAAACTTTGATGCAGCTGCTCTTTGTTGGTAGGGGTCGGTAAAAGTCGAAAAGTCGCTGCTCATTCGCCAAGGGACTCTGAAGTGGTTACAGTTATTGGGTTCCAATATAAAGATTTACAGCATCAACGATGTGGAAAATGAAAATACTCATACGGCCGAGAAGTTTTGCCTCTTGGCAGTCTGGCACGGGGGTACCCACCAATGAGACCACCTCGTTTTCCCTCAAATGTGATGCCTTTCTGACAGGCTAGCTTCTTACAGCTAGACTGCCAAGTGGCAAAACTTTTCGGCCGCACGAGTATGCTGGGCGGGAAGGAGAGGACCTTAGAAACTCAAATACACACATTCTTAAAATCCTATATATCTTTTTTCTTCAATTGTAATTCATCTGACCACGCCCTTCATCGGCAATAATATTTCATAGAAGATATTATCCATTTCAGAGGTACCATCTCCAATTTCTCCTCTTCGAAGTGTAGGCAGAATTAGCACAGCGGTGCTCACCATGTGCCCATCATCCTCTTTCAACTCCAGCTCAACCTCTCCCATCACCAATGCTGCTACAATTAGTCCTCCCAACATAGTTCCCCCATCCCCCATATGCACAAGCACCTACCATCTCGTCCGACAGAGCCTCCCACCAGCAATCTTCAACCACAGCCTCCGAGTCTACCTCTACACCCAAGCTCTCGCCCAATGCGCGAACTCCCCCTGGGTAGCTCCCGACCGTCTCCCCCTCCTATTCGTGGCGTGTCTCTTCCACGACATGGGATGCGCAACCGAAAACGACGGCCCGCAACGTTTCGAAGTCTGCGGCGCCGATGCCGCCGCGGGGCACCTCCGGAAATTTGAGGTCAACGACACGGATGTCCAGGAAGTGTGGACAGCGATTTCCTTGCACACTTCGCCCGGTATCGCAGAGCGGATTACGCCGCTCGCTCGGTTGGTGAGGCTGGCTGTGCTCATGGATTTCAATGAATTGGAGAAGAGTTCCTGGATTACTGAATCCGAGCTGGAAGTCGATGAGGAGAATTATCGGCGGAGCATCGAGGAGCGATTTCCTCGTCTGAGCGCCGAGAAGGTGCTGGGAGATATTGTGGTGGAGCAGGGTATGAGGCAGTCTACAAAAGCTCCAGCGGCAAGCTGGGCTGGGGTCATGGTTAGAGCAGCGAAGGAGGAGCCGGAGTGGGAGGGAATTAACAAGGCATTTTGAATCGGTGTTGATAAGGGTTTAACCAGACCTGAAACTTTCCCCCTCCCCCTTTCAGGTCTTCTTCGTCCTTGTTCTTCATGCATCAGTTTGGATGTTCCCAGGGATTCAGGTTCCGAGTACGCGGTGTCGTGAGGCTTTGACACGTTAGCCCGGTTAGAAGTAGAGCTGAGTCAAATTCGTGATACAGAGTAAGAAGGTATCCTAGGATGGAAGGGTATCGTAGCGTGAACAACTATCGCAAGGTAAGAGGAAACTGCAGAGTAAATTACTTTAGGTTCTATCTCTTCTTCTAGGTCTTGAATATCCTGATAGCCGAAAATGGTGAGTGGTCAGCATGCGCACTCAGATCATGAAGAAGAGATAGAAAAACCTGTGAAGATTCCAGAGCTGGAAACCACAATTCAAGCACAACACCACAAGATTCAAGGACTCAACACTGCAGTGACACGCCTACGGACGTCATAAAATGTGCACTCAACACATAAGGTTTGGTATCTAAGGCGTACATAGACTAATCGATCCAAGTCCGAGACCTTATCAGATCCGGAAGTCCTAAGAGGTGCATGAAAACATGAAGGAGAAGCTGGTTGAACGGCTCAGAGCAATCGAATACCGCAGAATCTACGTGCTGGGTATGGAACAGAAGTAGAAGATGAACCACATGTGTTTCAATCTAGAACACCGCGACGAGCAGTATCTGACTTCACCGATTGAGTTTGCCTCAAACGGCACAGGCACTTTGAGAGAGTATTTAGCAAAAGTCATGCCTAGAGAGGGTAAAAGCCAAGAATGAAATCGAAGATATCCTACAGTCGCCAGAGAATAGTGCCAATCTCCACGAACTTTTCCAAAGAACCGTAATTTTACTTGCAAGCGCGCAATTGTAGAAGTTGTCCAATTCAGGCGCGGTGCCAGAAAAAAGTGACAGTTTCCACAACTTTTCCCCAAATTTCATTATTTTGCCTGCAAAGGAATTAGTTTTCCCTACATATTTTATCCATTCTATTGACGTTCCTAAAAGGCGGAGTTGATTTGGTTTGATTGATATCCAAAATCATATCCGCGAATGACAAGACAGAGAGCTTTCTCCTATTGTGAATTGAAATTCCTCTATGCATGACTTTTGCTACATTTTGTTACTTTCCGTCTTATGATAGCTACTTGCTGAAGACCCGTTGAGTCCTTTAGTCCTTGACCTTGTGTACTACCAAAACCGACCAGCTAGTCTCGGACCAGGAGGGCAAATGTGTAATCTTATTACCCTTCAATCCCGAGCAGGGTGCAATATTTCTCATGCAATGCCTGGAGGTGGCTTCGAATCCTCATTCAGGCATGCAGCTGACAGCGGTCAAAGCGACTTTGAAGCTTCTAGGCGGAATTCCATTGTTGCTGGCGGTTGTCGCCAATTTCCTGTCTGACTCTATGTGGTCCCCCAGTGTCTATGTTGAGCAGTACGATAGATCTCCCTACCCTTGGTCTGGTGCCATTAAGACAATCCGCCTTGATGGTCTGCTCTGGTATGGAACTCTGAAAAACGTTTTCGACAGTTTTGACTACGCCCTTCAGGACTTGTCAGCAAAGGGTCGCGAGGTTATCAGGATCCTCGCGTTGTTCGATGGCATAGAAGTCGTAGACTCGCTGATATCTTCCAAGCAGAAGGATGATATCCCAGACTTCCTGAGACCCAGGCGAGTCTCCCACTACGTTCATGCGTAGCTTGCAACAACCAAAGTTTGAATCTGCTAATGAGCCAACGATACATATCCTATCCCGCGAGCTTCAAAAGCACGACCTCGTACAGAGAGCGATGTCTTCTGGTGGACGCACTCCCATCGTGACAATCAACACAGCGGTACAGCAAATGATACGGAGGAGACTATGACAAGATTCAAACAGGGGGAGCCTAATGCAGACGGCATATAGACAGGCGTACAAAATTCTGCGTTGTGCGACGCCAAAGGCGTTAAAATATTGGGAGCCGGTGCGAGATTTGGACCAAAGATCACATATTCTCAGATTAGACAAACACATCCAGCACCTCGGAGCGATAGCTGCCAAATAAAACTCTGGCACTGACCATCAGCTTGCCTCCCTTCTCTACGATGGTGGTTTCTTGATTTGGCGCCGGCAGATCAACCTAGAAGAAGGAATTCTATTGTTCAGCCAAGCACTCAAAACCCTCCCCAATCCCAGAGATGCTCAAGACAACTTACTTCGGTCCCATGTTTACCTTACAACAGGACGAACGTTCCATAGCATGGGCCATATCTCCAGGCCAAGTCCGCAAAATATTTGGATTCTACGTGGGTTCTCCGTCGAGAAGCATATGAGTACTTGAGGTCTTACCATCGCAAGACTTCTCACAAGACATTTCTGTTTTGTGCCAGAATCAACGTAGTAGCGGCGCAACTACACGGAGGTGACTTTAAGACAACCCAGAGCCTCCTCGAGAAATATCTCTAGGACTATATTAGTTGGAGCGATGAACAAGAAATGCCCTTCGATGGTGCGAAAGTATGTTATGGCCAGGCTAACTGCCATCTGGCGCGCGGCGACGCAGACTCCACTATACAGTTCGCACAGAAGGGAAGAGCAGCCATAGAGCGGCGCCTATCAAGTGACATAGCTTATTGCCATTCATTTCCGCATGCTTGCTTTCTGTTGCAGCTGGGCAAACGAGATGAGACCCTGACGCTCCATGGGCATATATCAAAAGCACGTAGGAAGTATTATGGAGGGCAAGGCTTACCGGCCTTGCAAAGCCATCGAGCCATTACAGTGTTGAACGACGGCGGTTGAGCTGGTTGAATCACGAGTCATGGTATCGACGCCGCCATGTTCTTCACGGACCGGTGTATATTTGGAACCTTGCTTTCTAAATCCATGCTCAAGACTTGAAATCAAAAATAGGTGCTACACCAAGGGAATTTGGCCCAATCAGAGCCCCTTGAAGATGGTACCTCTGACAAGATTTGAGGTCATGATGTCTCATGTACAATATTGTTGGGCGTGATTAAATCAACTTCATTTTCATGAGACCGATCATCACCATTGTTGTAACAATCTACTCGTGCAGGAGGTCAGCCAAAGTTGGAGAGTGTCGCAGGTAAAGAGACTCTAGGGTCTAAGGTACAGGTAAGGTACATTAAGGTACTTTAAGTTTCCGTGCTAAGCGCAGCTAGCTCACTCGCTAAAGCGGCCACGCCCGTGCGACCGACTCCCGGGTGCCAAGCACTCGCGTGAAAAGTGAAGACGCGTTTTTTCTCGTCACGTTCGCCATGATCCAAAAACTTGACCCCTTTCTTTCTCTCAGCGTTCTGCTCAAAAAACTCCAAGAAACATCTCTGTAGCTTGAGCTGTAACTTGGGAACATGGCGCCCTCGTCCAAATCTTCGAACAGCGCTCGTGGGACCCCTACACCCTCGCTGACCAAATCGAACTCGAGCTCCAAGAACCAGACGTCCATTGCAGGTTTCTTCAAGAAGCATTGCGAAGAGCCGAATGCCAATGGAACGCCAAAGATCAATGGCACCTCATTACCGATCAACAGCTTCGCACGAAAGACTGCAGTCACCGTATCCTCGGGAGGGTCGACCCAGAGCATGACACCTGCTCCAAGCAGCGATCCTGTCGAAGATATCAAAGAAGAGGAAGACGCAAGCGCAATCAATCCCAACAGGCAAAGCGCCTCCAATACTTTGCCCTCGCCAATCACTCCTGCAAGTGCTCTGAACGAAATTGATGGAAACGGGGTCCCTGCTGGCTTCTACAGCCCTTCACGGAAGGTCTGCCTGCCTTTCCCGACGATCTTTTTCCCAGCTGATAGTTGTTTTATAGGCAAAGAAAGCTGTGAATTACGCCGTCGACCCTGATTCTGACGAAGACGAGGACGAGGACGACGACGCGTTCAAGCCTACGCGGAAAGGAAGGGCCTCAAAGCGGAGAAAGACAAGCGTCGAGAGTGACGACGATGTCTTCGTGGGAGATGGTGCGGCAGAGGATGATGTGGTCGAAGAGGGTAAACCTGCCCCAGCCCATTGAAGGGTTGGATCATGATGCTGAAAATTTTGTGGTGCAGATGACTTCGTGGTAGATGACGAATCCGACGAGGTCATGCCTACAAAAAAGAAGCGAAAGAGGTCTTCTCCCGCTCAGTCTACATCTCGGCGCGATGCTGTTTTAGAGTCCATTGGGATGGATGGCGACGAAGAAATGCCTGCGGTTTCTACTGCTCAGCAGTGGTCTTTTGATCCCACAGCCGTCCAGCCATCACAGCTCAGGAATGCTCTAATGCGGAAGGCCACACCAAAGAAACCTGAGCCCAATGCCAACAAGGGAAAAGCCAAGCCAAGCAAAGTCGAACGGCGATACGAATGGCTAGAGCCAGCTAATATCACCGACATCGATAAAAACCGTCCAGATCATCCAGATTACGACCCAAGGACAGTGTACGTACCGAAGTCGGCATGGATGGATTTCACCCCTTTTGAACACCAGTACTGGGAGATCAAGCAAAAACATTGGGACACAATAGTCTTCTTCAAGAAGGGCAAGTTCTACGAGCTCTACGAAAATGATGCCACCATTGGGCATCAACTCTTCGACTTGAAGCTTACTGATCGTGTAAACATGCGCATGGTCGGCGTACCCGAAGCTTCTCTAGACATTTGGGCCAATCAGTTCGTGGTTAAAGGATATAAAATTGCGCGTGTGGACCAGGTCGAATCTGCTTTGGGCAAAGAGATGCGAGAGCGAGACAGCGGACAGTGTGGTAAGGCCACGAAGGTAGACGAGAAGATGAAAAAGATCATCAACCGAGAGCTTGCATGCGTGCTTACAAGCGGCACTCTTGTTGACCCGGGCATGCTTCAAGACGACATGTCCACGTACTGCGTGGCCATAAAGGAGTCGGAGCAAGAGGGACGGCCTGCTTTCGGCATCGCGTTCGTGGATACCGCTACCGCTCAATTCTTCTTGACTGGTTTCGAGGATGATGTCGAGATGACGAAGTTTGAAACGCTCATCGCGCAGATAAGGCCTCGTGAAGTCTTGCTTGAGAAGTCTTGTTCATCCACGAAAGCATTGAGGATCTTAAAAAACAGCACTGGGCCAAACACGTCAATAGTATCCTTGAAGGCTGGTAAAGAGTTCTGGACAGCGGACACCGCATGCAGAGAGATGGATGCTGCTCGATACTTCGTGAATGATGATGGAGACAACATCGAAGCTTGGCCAGAACCTTTGCGGCAGGCCCGAGAGGAACATGAGTCTGTGATGTCTGCGTTCGGTGCATTGGTTCAATATCTACGGACTCTGCAGATTGAGCGTGATCTTGTGACCCTGGGCAACGTATCTTGGTATGATCCCATCAGAAGTGCAGGCACCCTTATCCTGGACGGAAAGACCTTGATCAATCTCGAGATTTTCGCGAATTCGTTTGACGGCAGTTCGGAGGGCACCTTGTTCAGTCTCTTGAATCGATGCATCACTCCATTTGGAAAGCGAACGTTCAAACAATGGGTATGCCACCCTCTCATGGACGCTGTAAAGATCAATGCACGCCTCGATGCTGTTGAGTCTCTCAATGCAGATACTACTCTCCGGGATCAATTTACTTCCCAGCTCTCGAAACTGCCTGATCTTGAACGAACAATATCTCGCATTCACGCCGGTGTATGCAAGGCTCAAGACTTTGTGCGAGTCCTCGATGGTTTCGAGCAGATCGACTACACAATAGGCGTCTTGCGCAATATGGGCTCGGGCGACGGGATCATCGGTCAATTGGTTACGAGCATGCCAGACATGAGAGAACTCCTCAAGTATTGGAACAATGCCTTTGACCACGATAAAGCAAAAGAAGCAGGCCTACTTATTCCCGAGCGCGGCGTCGAGGAGGACTTCGACGCGAGCCAAGACCGCATTCAGAGCTTGCTGGCCGATTTGGAGACTCTACTGAAGAAGACAAGGAAAGAACTGAGATCCAACGATATCGTCTACGCGGACAACGGAAAAGAAATATACCAGCTCGAGGTCCCTGTAAAAGTCAAAGGGATACCGAAAAATTGGGATCAAATGTCCGCAACCCAAAAGGTCAAGCGCTACTACAATCCTGAGCTCCGAGGTCTCGTCCGCAAACTTCAAGAAGCACAAGAAACGCATGGCCAAATCGTCAAAGAGGTATCTGGCCGCTTCTTCAAGAAGTTTGATGAAGACTATGTGACGTGGCTGGCAGCAGTACGAATTGTGGCACAATTGGACTGTTTGATATGTCTGGCTAAAGCATCTTCAGCATTGGGTGAGCCGAGCTGTCGACCTGAGTTTGTTCATGATGAAAGGAGCGTGGTCGATTTTGAAGACCTTCGCCATCCGTGCATGCTTCCCAACGTCACAGACTTCATCCCCAATGATGTCAAGCTCGGTGGTGGAATGCCCAACCTCAACCTGCTGACAGGTGCCAATGCAGCTGGTAAATCCACCGTGCTCAGAATGACCTGCGTTGCCGTTATCATGGCCCAAATCGGCTGCTATGTCCCCGCCATATCTGCTCGCCTTACTCCCGTCGATAGAATCATGTCCCGCCTTGGCGCTCAGGACAATATCTTCGCCGCCCAATCTACCTTCTTCGTTGAGCTTGCAGAAACCAAGAAGATTCTTTCCGAAGCCACCCCTCGCTCTCTCGTCATCCTCGACGAACTTGGCCGCGGCACTTCATCCTACGACGGTGTGGCAGTGGCCCAAGCGGTTCTGCACCATGTCGCCTCCCACATTGGCTGTGTTGGCTTCTTCGCTACCCACTACCATTCTTTAGCCGCTGAATTCGCCACTCACCCCGAAGTTCGCAACTGCCGCATGCGTATACACGTTGACGACGAGAACCGTCGTGTCACCTTCCTTTACAAGCTGGAAGACGGAGTCGCGGAGGGCAGCTTCGGCATGCATTGTGCGAGTATGTGCGGGATTCCCGAAAAGGTGGTCGGGGAGGCGGAGGTAGCGGCCAAGAAGTGGGAGCATACCGCTAAGATCAAGGAGAGTCTAGACGTGGCGAGACAGGGGTGCTGGATCCCGTTGGGGATGCAGAGCGATGTTGCTTGGATGCTCAGGGAAGAGCTGGAAGAGGCTGTCGGGGCGAGAGGAGTGGATGTGTTGAGGGAGGCTATTGAAGGGCTGTAGGACTTCCAGTCCAGAGGGATGACTGCGTCGATGGGGGTCTCACACTTGGCCGGTGTGGCAGGGTTGGCTTGGGCTTTGAATCAACGTTATGGACAGTCTAGACGGTTCGCTTCTTTTTGGCGCATTCTCACTCGGCGTCGTCGGCTTAAAAGCATGCGTTGTCTTCACACAATATCCCATCAGCAGATAGCGTTCCTGTCATAGCAAGCATGTAATAGTAGCGAGATGCTTCGAAGCTTATGAGTCTGGCATTGATGTAGCTAAAGCCTTAGATGAGCTATCAATGATGATCAATGATCCATGTAGCCACCTTCCAGTCCTTTCCTGACCTGACGACCTTTCATCTCGAGATCCAAACGATCACCACTTCCAATGCAAATCTGATGCCCTTTCCACCTGAAACGTATGACCAAGGACGAGTATCCACCCACGAGCGCTGAGAGAAAGGGAAATTGATGCCCAGATCCACCAAGAGCGTATCCATTGAGTCGATCTTTGAGAGGAAGGCGAGATCGAGGTAGCTGGTTGCCGGATACTTTGGTGGGGATTGGGACACTGTGTTGGGCTGTTAGTAGTGTGTACAGATGTGATAGTAAATGCGGCGGAAGCCACGCTGAATACAGATCTATAAAGAGGGAGAGGACATAGTTGGATAAAGCAAGGACGCAAGGGTATCTTCACCTCAAGCAGCCTGGCCCTCAGTGGTGTAGATGTTGAACAGCTCATCTTCGGCCATCTTCTGCTCCTCCGCATCAAAGCAACGGTCGTCACCCTCCTGCTCCTCCTCCTTGACGTTGGCGTCGCCGCCGAAGATGGAGCCCTCCCCGTTGGTCTGAGCGACGGTTTCAACCCCGTGAAGCTGGGCGTTGGCAGCGTCATTGTTGTCGTCGGCGGCGGCCCCATCGGCACTGGTAGTGACTTTTGCGTTGGCATTTTTCTTGGCTCGCTTAGTGGGAGTGGCGTTGGGATCTTTGGGCTTGCTTGGGCCGCGCTTGCGTTTGGGGGTGGGGGTGGGGGTGGGAGTGGTGATTCCGGTGGCAGCGGTGTCGTTGGTAGCATCCTCATTGGTGGTGGCCTTGGTGGGAGTGTCACCGTTGGCGTCAGTCTTGGAAGGGCCAGTACGCTTCTTTGCACGACCTTTCTTGGGAGACTCGGCGCCGGGAGTCACTTCAGTATCGGCGTCACCTCCTTCAGCATCGGCAAGTTCGGTCTTGATGGCCTTGCCGCGCTTCTTAGGAGCAGCTTTGCTAGGGGTAGCTTCATCGTCATCGTCGGCGTCTCCGTTGGCAGCAGCTTTGCCCTTGGCTTTCTTCGGAGTGGGAGCGGCGGCGGCATTGCTGACGCTTGCGCCAGCCATGAGCTTCTTCTTAAGGGTAAGGAAGCAGGCATTGGCTGATGCGGCGGTTTTGTACCCGGCGAGCTGGGCCAACTTGGCATAGTCGATCTGCGTTGAGTGTTAACGGAAAGGCTGCTTCCAAACGAATTCGATGACAGAAGTGAGGTGCAGTAGGAAAGCTTGAAATTTTAAGCCGTAGAATGTGCAGAACGGATGACGTGGAAACAGTCAAGGCCAGGAAATTGTTTTGATGTTAGGAAACGCTATCCGAGCTCACCTGCAGTGCACAGTCATCCTTCAATGACTGAAAGGCGATTGCGAGCAAGTTCACATCACGAGCAGTGAGCTGAGGGGCTGAAGACATGTTGTCTTGGGTTGATGTTTGGTACGGATGTTGGATGTAAGAGGAAGATGGAGCGAAGTAGATTGAAAGATGGTTACGATGTTGAGTGGAAGATAATGTTGAGTTGGACGAGAGTGTGATGAAGGATGTGAAGCTCGTAGATCTTGGAAAACACTAGCGTGCTTTTTAGGTGAATTGAGCCTCAGTTGGCCAAAATTGCGAAAGTGAACGGAAGATGCCCTCAGAAGTTCGACATTTGTGGTTTCACTTGCAAGCTGCCAGATGAATTTACCACGGCAAGAAGTACCTTCAGCGCCTCGTTAGAATATTACCCTCTTGGCTGGTCCTGAATACCGGCTCTGTCCCCGGTAAATGAGTTAGAGGCTTCTTTTGAATCTTTGATGTGAATGAAGACGGGAAAAATGAACACCCAAGACTCGACTTTCTTTGGGCATACACCGGATGTGCTGACTATTTTCGGATATGCGCTTCTTCAATGGACTTTTCTCGAGTATCCCGTATCTGTCCTAGAGCTTTTTGCCACACCGCAGTCTCAACCGTCTTCCTTCGTTCACTGCCAACAAAGAACAGGTTCCGCTCCTTGGGCGCCCACCATGGCCTCTTCTTGATTGAAGAGAAATGTGGTACTCGAATCAAATTCTCAATGCCAAAACGAGCTTTGGTAGGACGCAACTCTGAAATTTGCATCCTGGAAATGCGGAGACTTCCATACGACTTGATGGTGGTCAAGTCAACTTCCGTTTTTGACGGTATATTCCGTGCCCACTTCAAGAGCTGCTCTGTTGACCGCCGAGCGAATATTGGTAGCTTGATGTGGACAAAAGCCACAAATGGAGCAGCATAATATGTCACATAGAGCAAAGGCACGGCTCCAGCAGCAGCAACTGAGAGCCCGCATTAGGCTTCCATCAGGCCCTGAAAGGATTGTACTGACCTGCAGGTGCAACCCAAGCGGGCTGTTTCGGGTCGTGATAGAATGTAGGTGCAACAAGCAGAACACTTGCAGTGAAGAGGAAAATTGTGGTAACTTTGAGAAACCCCACGAATACAATGCGAGGAGTCCCAGCATGATAGATCAAGAGCCGCTCTGGAATATCTATAGAACCCAGTCAATCATCTTCATCTGGATAGAATTACTCCGTATCTTACCTGCTTTCGAGGGAGTTTGATACGTGGATGCGAACGATCTACAGAGTCTTGATAGAGAACGCGGCAAAGGACGGTACCAAATATCTTGCTTTCCGCGGAGATGGCACCGCGAAGAGCGCAACAAGGCCCTGAGAAATGGAGCCATCGCTGCATGTGCGTACTTCAAAAGTATGTTTGCGGAGATGCACTGCAATCTGAAGACCATTTCGAGCGCGTTAGAGCGCTAACAGCGGCTCTTTAGGCGAGCCAGGGATCGACAGGAAGGGTCCTCGGGAGACAATGCATTGCAGCATTAGCACCTCGAGGAGCCTTGATACGAAACACTGTCTGGCTTACTTTAGTGCATAGCAAGGCGTGAAGAGAGTCATCTGATCTCTTTCCATATCCACTCGTTCCTAATACCATGGTTTGCCGGATGGAAGTGTTCTCGGGTTGGTGAAATGAGGCCACCCTTTAAATCTCATACAACACGATGAAGGCTAGACTGTCGTTCCTTCTCTACGCACTAAGGACTCTCATACTCGTCAGCCTTTCGGCAGCATACACTCCACTGCCTGATGAAGCTCTGAAGGGAATCCCTCGCCCTGGCGACGATTTCAACATCAGAAATGGCAAGCTGCTTTCCCAAATCCTCCAACCTAGAGTACCTGGCGGCCCAGGCTCTGCCGCCGTGCTCAACCATTTTGCAGAATTTTTTGGAAGCGAACTTCCAGAATGGACTATCACATACCAGAACTCCTCCTCCACGATCGCTGTGCTGGGAAACAAAGAGATGCCATTTGTCAACATGATTGCGACCAGAGATCCTCCCTGGTCGAACCCCGGAGAAGTTGGCTATCTGACACTGGTCGCTCACTACGACAGCTTAATGAAACCTGAAGGCTTCATTGGCGCCATTGATAGCGCTGCTCCCTGTGCCATGCTCATGCACACAGCTAAGAGTCTGGAGGATGCCCTCACGAAGAAATGGGCTGGGATGGTAGAAGCTGGAGACCATGATTTCGAGGACCACAAAGGCCTGCAAATAATACTGCTGGATGGCGAGGAGGCTTTCGATACCTGGTCTGACACCGACTCGATCTATGGAGCAAAATCACTGGCTGCGGAAATGGAATCAACTTATCATCCGGCACTTTCGACCTACCACAACGCACTATCGACCATCCACCTGTTTGTGTTACTCGATCTGCTGGGTTCGAGGAATCCCAAAGTCCCAAGTTACTTCAAGGTCACGCACTGGGCATATAAGAAGATGGCGGATCTGGAAAAGCGCCTTCGCAACCACTCCCTCTTCGAGTCATCCGGGTCCTCATGGTTCTACGATGTAGATAAAAGCAATGATCGATGGATGGGTGGAATGATTGGAGATGACCATGTACCCTTCATGGCCAGAGGGGTGGACGTATTGCATCTGATACCATCACCGTTCCCTCCAGTATGGCACAAAATGAGCGACGATGGCGAGCATCTGGATATGGATACCACGGAGGATTGGGCTGTGCTGGTGACAGCCTTCGCTGCGGAATGGATGGATTTAGGGAATTACATGGGCGTAAAGTCGGACCATAAGAGAGCGTCGCGCGATGATCAGGTGGAAAGAATCATCAGCAAAACAGAATTGTGAGTGCGTTACAACCGCCTCTCATATCGTATCGTCAAGCTCATTCTGTTACGAAGAACCTGAAGCCCATACGAAGCATTATGCGGTCCTACTATCTGCGCAGCAAGTAGCCGGGTTGTCCACCAGCAATCTTGCCAAACCGGCTACAATCACACATGGCCGAGGCTGTCGTAGAGTCCAATACGCCGGAGTCGACGAAGGGAAGATGCTATTGCTGTGGCGTAGGAAGCATCTCCATTGGGGTAGAGTACATACAATTGGCCGCGGGATTGGTCGGTACCAAAGCTGAATCGAAAATAAAGACCATTCGACTCTCTGGTTCGATGGGGCGCATGGAGAACGACTTGACCCATACGGACCTGCATCTCATCCCTCGAGTTTGGGAATCATAGCTGGTAGCTGCTCATACGCGGGCAGAAGCGGAGTATCCACGGAACGAGATATTCCAGTCGAAGCAGAAATCGAACGCAAGCACATTGCCTTGAGATCGGCTTTAGACTATGTCTCAGTGAGCCTGCGATCAGCGCTGT